CCCTGCAGTGAGTCTGGACGCACTGTGGGCAGGAGCTGTTGCTGGGGCATCCCAGGCACTTCCTACTGAGCCAAACTTTTGCAGAGGGGCTCCTGCAACCCTCTATGTGCTTGGTGATGCTGTCCCTGCCCCAGGTAAAGGGAGCTTGCACTGCTGTGGGAAGACCCAGCTGGCAGTATCCTGTTGCCGTGCATCTAGGAGCCATGGGACTGGCAATGTCCCAGGCAGTGCTAAGTGGGGGATGCACCCTTAGCCCCATGCCCACAGGCACTGACAGCTCTTGCTGCACCCTCCTTTTCGGGAGTCCTGCTCTTGGTGCTGTGGCGTGGGCTCTGCTGTTGCATGTCCACTGCCCAGGGTGAATGGCAGAGCCCTGGTGCTGCTTCTGCATGATGGTGCCATGCGTTTTCCCCAGCCCTGCCTCACACACTGCCCGTTGCTGCTCCCCAGCCCTGGCCACACGCCCTTACTCATCTGGCAGTGCATCCTCACTGGCAGCATCCTTCAGCACTGACGTGACACTGGGCACTTGCTTCTGCTCCCTGCCTGTCCCAGTGCCATCTCTTGCTGGATCCAGGAAGCTCCCCAGGCCAGTGTCCCAAGCTCATGCATGGCTCAGCATAGTTAAGGCTGAGCTGTGTCATGGGTGAGGCAGGCTGCCTGCCTGGTCCTGGCAGAGCCCGCCTGTACCTGGCTGCTGGCAGCCCCCTGCCTGCTCTACCCCATGACCTGCCCAAATGCAGGGAGGGTTCCTGGTGTAGCTGCTCCACCAGGACCCTTGCTCTCACACTGCTGAGCTCCCCCCCCGCCCACATGTCCTGCATGCATCTGCCACCAACACCCCAATTTTCAGCCTGGCCTGTAATGGGGACCCCAAGGGGCACTTGGGCCTGGCTGCAAGGTGTGGAGGCTCATGGTCCAGGGTCAGATAGGGGGAAATAGGAGGGTCCCTGCAACATGCAGCACCCCAAGAAGAATTCCTGTCTGGGTGCAGGGCTGAACCGAGCCAGCATTGCTCTCCTGGGGTCCTGGGAGGAGGACCCTGCCCTGTAGGACTCCCTTTGGCTCGGTCATGAAGTGTGCAGGGTGGGCCTAGACTCAACGTTCCTGCTGGACCCCCTGCATGGAGACCTTCCTCAATAAACCCCACGCTTCTTCCCCTGCTGCCTGCCCTGCATCTTCTTGTGTTGGAGCAGGAAAATGGTGTGGGAGCACGGAGTCAGGCTGGGTCTTCCTTATCACACTGGTGTGCACAGAGCCTCATAAGGGTGGTGGGGGAAATAAGAGGGAGGAATGGGGCAGATGGGGGGGGCCTGTGTAACAGTTGTGTGGCCCTGGTGACAGGGATGCACAGGGAAACCAGTGCAGGAAAGGGTTTATTCAGTTGACACTGGGTGCAAGCAGCACAGGGCTGGGGGTGAGCAGGGCACACCTGGCTGCACCAGGGCAGGCGAGTTGTGCTGGCAGCAACCACCAGCACACAGGGAGAAGCCATGGTGACCGTAAAAGGAGCTGTGACTGTTGTGGCAGATATAGTCACAGGGGCAGACTGTTCCTGGTACTCATCTATGTCTGGAAAAGACAGAGCTGTGCCAAGGGTACAGGGTTTGCCTGGCATAGGCAGGGCAAGGGATGGAGGGGGCATGAGTGGGGCAACTCTAGGGCTGAGTGAACCTGGGACATGAAGGCAGGCAGTCCTGCCATCACTTGCCCCCAAGGCTGCTGGGTGGCAGATAACTCCTCACTCCACCAACTCGTGCCCAGACACAGTCTGTTCCTCCTGTGCCCCAGGACTTGGGCTGTGAGCACAGCTGGGCACCTCAGGGTCTCTGCTCTCAGGGCAGCATGGCTGCACCAGGCAGTGGCAGGTGGTTGGGCACCGTGGGCAGGCAGCCAGCTAGCTGCTGCCTGCAGGTACTTACCCAGGCACTGGCTGGCAGTGGGATCAAGGGGGCAGAAGCCTGGGTGGCAGCTGCAGGCACGTGCCCCAGGGGTGTTGGTGCAGAGCTGGCTGCAGTGTTGCAAGCCCTGACACACTCATCGATGTCTGCTGGAGCAGCATAGAGTTATAGCACATGGAGGAAAGGCAGCACAGCCCTGTTGTTGGGGTGCAGGCAGGGCTGCTTGGTGCACCCCCACCCCTCTAGTGCTGCACATTTGGCTGTGCCCCCAGTGCAGAGCTGCCCAGGGCCACCATCACCCTCCAGCCAGCTCCCAGCCCTGGGACAGGGAAGAGCTGGGGCATGCTGAGCTCCCTCCCCATGCAGCCCCAGGGCAGGGTGGGCAGAAGCATGGGCACAGTACTGCCCCGCACAGCTCAGCAGGCCAGATTAACAGATGTGATATAGTTTATTGGGGATATTTTCTAGGGGAGGGGCTGGAAGACTGAGCAGGGTCCAACTCCAAACAGTAGGGTCAATATGTTAAAAACAGACCAGGAGGGTCCTTCCCCTGCAGGGCTGGGGAGACCCTCCTCTGCCAGGGCAGAGTCCCCATCACCAAGGAGGGGCAGGCAAAGCACACACGTCGCGGGCCAAACCAGCAGGCACATGGTACAGTATCAAGGAGACAGAGCAAGTGACCACCTGGGAGGTGCCAGCGTGGCAGGAGCAGTACTGGGGCAGTAGGGTGCCAGGGAAGGGGCGCTGCTGTGCTGCCCCAGGGCTGCTTTCCCAGAGAGTGTGCACAGGACAGATGTGTCTGTGCCCATCCCACTGCAGGCTGCCCCCGTAGG